GGGGTGAAGGAGGGTGAGCGTAGGGCGAAGGAGGGTGAGGGAGGGTGAGCGTAGGGCGAAGGAGGGTGAGGGAGGGTGAGCGTAGGGCGAAGGAGGGTGAGGGAGGGTGGGCGTAGGGTGAGCGTAGGGCGAAGGAGGGTGAAGGAAGGTGGGCGTAGGGTGAATGAGGGTGAGCGTAGGGTGAGGGAGGGTGAGGGAGGGTGTGTGTAGGGTGAGCGTAGGGTGAGGGAGGATGTGCGTAGGGTGAAGGAGAGTGAGCGTAGGTTGAAGGAGGGTGAGCATAGGGTGAAAGGGGGTTAGTGTGGTGAACGAGTGTGAGCGTAGGGTGAGGGAGGATGTGCGTAGGGTGAAGGAGAGTGAGCGTAGGTTGAAGGAGGGTGAGCATAGGGTGAAAGGGGGTTAGTGTGGTGAACGAGTGTGAGCGTAGGGTGAGGGAGGATGTGCGTAGGGTGAAGGAGAGTGAGCGTAGGTTGAAGGAGGGTGAGCATAGGGTGAAAGGGGGTTAGTGTGGTGAACGAGTGTGAGCGTAGGGTGAGGGAGGATGTGCGTAGGGTGAAGGAGAGTGAGCGTAGGTTGAAGGAGGGTGAGCATAGGGTGAAAGGGGGTTAGTGTGGTGAACGAGTGTGAGCGTAGGGTGAGGGAGGGTGTGCGTAGGGTGAAGGAGAGTGAGCGTAGGTTGAAGGAGGGTGAGCATAGGGTGAAAGGGGGTTAGTGTGGTGAACGAGTGTGAGCGTAGGGTGAGGGAGGGTGAGCGTAGGGTGAGGGAGGCTGAGCGTAGAGTGAGGGAGGGTGAGCGTAGGGTGAGGGAGGGTGAGCGTATGGTGAGGAAGGGTAAGCGTAGGGTGATGGAGTGTGAGCGTAGGGTGATGGAGGGTGAGGGAGGGTGATAGAGGGTGAGCGTAGAGTGAAGGAGGGTTAGTGTGGGGTGAAGAAGGGTGCGCGTAATGAAAACTGGAGAAGATCTGGAATAGGGTAGAGGAAACTGACGGCGGGTTGAAGAGGCAGGATAGTGCGAGGAAAAGGGCGAGGTTTGAATGGGTGGTTGGGTAGAGAGGGGGAAGCGGACGCAGTTGGGTTTGTTAGAAAAGTTCTAGTGGGGAGTTCAAAATCCCAAATCCCCAATAAATTTCCATACGGACACTTAATGTAATTCCTTGCGTGAGTCGCGCGCGATGCCATTTCAACGCAGTAAAACAAAAAGAACAAGATGTACGACTCCTGCGATTAGTGCGTCATCTATATTCCCGCATGCCCGCCCGCTCGCTCGCTCTCTCTCTCTCGTCTGCGTCGACGAGCATGCGCAGACGCCCGACTCCCGAAATACGAGCCGCAGTAAATTCTCATCTCGGTCGACGATTTATTGCCACTTTTCCACCGGAAGCGAAGAAGGAATGCGATCCCGCGTGCGACGTGTATGGCCATGATGCACTGCTGTTAATCACCGACGCGAACCTGGCAGCCCGCCATGTTGGCCGGGTATCATAACAGCAGCCGCAGCAGCAGTGGTGAGCCCGTACGGCCGAGCCTCGATAACCTTGACCATAGTTTTACCGCGGCGAGGGGATGACGGCAGGAATCGTCTATCACCTACCTTCCCCCTCCTCCTCCTCCTCCTTCACGCGCGCCGCCCGCCCGCCGTCACCGCGGTGTTGTGATTTTCGGGCATATAATGAGAAGTGCGTGGACGTGAGTGGTGACGCAGGGATGCGCGCGCGGTATTCACAACGCATGTGTCGACGACGCGGCAGGACTGTGCGTCGTCGCTACGACGCGGTGCGGCGGCGTCCTGCAGTTTGCGTCGCGCTGCAATTTTTGGCGTTGCGCCCGCAGACCTTTGCGTGGTCCCGCAGTCTTCTGCATCACCCAGCAATCTACTGCGTCGTCCTGCAGCCTTCTGCCGAAGACTATACGTGTATTTTGCGTCGCCTTGGAATTTTGTGCGTCGCGCTGCATTTTTCTGCGTCGCCTTTTGCAGTCTTGTGCGTGCACGCGTGGGTTGGCGTGAACATGCATGCGTGCGTGCGCGTGTGTGGGCTTGCACGTTACAGATGTGATATAGGTTCAGCTTAGAGCAAGAGTTAGGGTTAAGCCTACTGTAAGACCTGGGGTTATATGGTTACAACGAGATTTGAGGTTTGGGGTTACACTCAGCGATATGTAGCATGTTATGCACACCGCCTGTTTATTGTTCCCGTATGCCGGTCACCGCTGACTGCGTGTTGGCGAGTGTGTATAAATACTGGACATTTCCAATATCTGTATGGGTAAATAGTTTCACCAGCCGCCTGTCGGTTGGAGAGTTGGAGAGAGAGATCAAGAAAGTAGAGGGCGAGGGAGAGAGGGGAGAGAGAGAGAGAGAGAGAAAGAGAGAGATCAAGAACGTAGAGAAAGAGTAGGGGGGGGGGGTAGAGATAGTCTACTGTAAGAACGACAAGCGTTGTCCCGCGCACTCGAATTCAATCCTCTCGACTTGCATCGGAGAAGCCCCGCACTCAGGACGTTGACTTGCTGTAAATTCCACGCGTTTCCGGCCGTCTCGACAGCCGCGTGTCCGAAACGTAATACGACGTCCACTCCTCGCGGCCCACGCGTAGAGCGAGCTGTTGGCGTGCGGACGGTGGTAAAGGGTCAGTGTTCTACATCGATGACCGGTGGTCAGTCTCCGGCCACGTGCTGACCCGTGCGCGCATACGTACGTGGTCGGGCATATATATAAATGCGCGCTGAGTGCAAACTCTGCTGCTAAATTATAGGGTATATTCACTTCCAAAAACATTCGCGGTATTTCGCCGCCGAGCAGTTCTCACGGCGAGTAAATGTGTTTGCTGGCGATACTGCTTTCTCGAACAGCTTTATTAGCATGGCCTCATATCATAATACCTCGTGGTCGCATGGTAAAATAGACTCGTTTATTCCGACGCGCAGACAATGCTGTAAACGATGGTTTATGTATAGAGCTCGTTAAATCCTTAAATAACAGCGTTACTTTATAACCGATATGTTTACCAATTCCATATGTGGTGCGTGCGTGTGTGCGCCTGTACGTACGTTCGTGTATATGCCCGTGTGTGAGTGTGTGTGTGTGTGTGTGTGTGTGTGTGCGTGTGTGCGTGCGTGCGTGCGTGTTTGTTAAACTGAACTTGATCAATTATTTTTTTGCTAGCGCTCAGGAACATTATATTAATAGCGATTTCTCGCCGTTTCCTACAGATTTTACTAAACTTGCTAACTCAACTAAACTTGACTAAACTTGACTAAACTAAACTAAACTAAACTAAATTTTACTAAACTTGCTAACTTGATCACTACAACTTGCTAACTCCCTCCGTGCACATTGTTGCAGTGCGGCAGGAGGAGAGCTGTTCAGTCACTTTCTGGAGGAGGAGGCCTTCAATGAGAAACATGTCATCCGGTTCATGCGACAGCTGCTAGAGGGCCTCGTCTTTCTCCACGACAGAAGTATCGTCCACCTCGATATAAAGGTAAGCATTGACTCATGTCATGTAGCATAGCCTTCGTACCAGTGATATCCTGACAGCTGTGCATAGGTTTGAGTAGGAAGTGCCATTAGGAAATTACCAGCCATTATATATAATATTTTATATATATATATATATATATATATATATATCACAAGCTAATAATACATAATATGTCATTTATTAGCTTTGATATATATAGATATATAATGGGAATATATATATTAGTTGTGTGGACAGGTGCCTGTTATCGGTATATCAGATGAAGCCGAGAGAGAGATGAAGAGATGACGAGAGACGAGAGGAGAGATGAGACTGCGAGTGCCGAGAGGACGAGAGAGACCGCTGCGCTGCGAGGAGAGAAGAGAAGATGAGAGTGGAGAGCGATCAGAGAGAGAAGAGAGAGAGAGAGAGAGAGAGAGAGAGAGAGAGAGAGAGAGAGAGAGAGAGAGAGAGAGAGAGAGAAAGCATTGTAGAAACAGCCTGTATGATTTGCTGTAGCATTAGTGTTCGTTCAACGTTGAGTTCGCTATATAGCGTTGAGTTTTCCTTCATGGCAGACCCGCACCGCAGCCGTTACAGGCACACGCTGCGCTGCGGCGGCAGCATCCTTGCCGCTGCGTCAACTCGAACTTTTTCGCGTTTGAAATTATTTATGGTCTGTCAACGCGGCGGCGCCCCGCACGCACGTGCATGCACCGTTCGGACGCGTTAGCGCTGGCGACCTTGGAAAGTGACACTGCTGGGTATTGCCTGTAATACGTATATAAGCGCCTACCGTGCGCTGATAACTGTCACATACGAGAGGGCGGACTGCCAGAAACGCCGCAAAATGGCCGCAGGCCGGCGCGTACCGGCTTCTAACCGCAGTCGCATTCACACACCGCGCGTATTTTTCCACACAAAAATGACATTTTTGTTCTTTCCCAGAAAACGGCGATTTGTCGGTGTGCGGGGATGGGTGGCGGTGGACGCGCATGTAGATTGTCGGTAACGGAGTGTGGTGGGAAGTGTGAGGCGCGGAACGAAGGGAGGGGCCGATACGCTGCTCACGCGCGTGCGTGCCGATTATATGTGTATTTTTAATTTTACGATTACACGTGTATATTATGCGTGTCCGACCGACTGTGTAACTAGAGCGCAGGCGCGGATGTGAGAGAAGCGCGTGTCGTATATCTATATCTCCATATACGGGGCGCGATGTGCGAGCCGGGAGGCACTGGCGAGGGAGAGCGTTTGTAAACCTTAGCAACCATCACACCTCATTGCTTCGTCAGCAATTACGAGGTGCTACCCCTTAGCAATGCAGTCACACCGTCTTGCCGTCCTTCCATCTATCTGTGTATCTATCTATCTATCTATCTATCTATCTCTCTCTCTCTCTCTCTCTCTATATATATATATATATATATATATATATATAATATATATATATATATATATATATATATATATATATATATATCTTTCTGTCTCGCTCTCTCGCTATGTGTGTGTCGCTCTCTCTTTATCAATCTATCTATATAGCGATATATATATATATATATATATATATATATATATATATATATATATATATATATGTGTGTGTGTGTGTGTGTGTGTGTGTGTATGTGTGTGTGCGTGCGTGCGTGCGTGCGTGCGTGCGTGCGTGCGTGCGTGCGTGCGTGCGTGTGTCTTTCTTTCGTTCTCTCACGCTAAGTAACGTATCTCTGCACACGCTCTAACGCCGATGCTCGGTAATTCGAGGTCACGGCGCTGCTTGCGACACGTATACTCACACAAATGGTAATTTCGGCATCGGTGACATTTTTGGGGGTTGTCGCCGCGTACGTCCCTCCCCGTCGTGACTGCGGTATGTGGAGCATGATCAATGCACACGCCTGCTAGACCGCGCCTTGCTCGTTTCGCAGTGTATAGCAATCGCGCGCGTAGGCATCGGAAAGAGTTTCAAACGCGAAGGTCGCGCGGACATTTCAGTCCACGATGGCGCCGCCGGCGAGTGAGACGCGACTCGAATGCGCGTGTTTTTCGCAAACTTGTAGCAACTTGTGGTTTCGGCATAGCGCATTTTCGGGCGGCGTGCCGCTGCTCTGTTCAATGGGGAGCATGCAGGCGGTGCCTTCCTCTAACCCCTCTCTTCTTTCTAAACGATGGTGCCCGCTTCGGAAAACCCCTCTTCCGGAGTTAACGGCCTGTCCGCACGTTCTGAGCCAGGCCTTGTCCTACCCGGATTCCTCGCCGTATTTATCGCCCTGATTATACGCCTTCCATTACATTCTTACGTCTAATTAGTAGCGTACTCCGACGAAAGGGGTTGAGACCGTCACGCTATACGAACATTCCTTCCCTCCTCCGCCGATATATCCTCTCTGCCTCTCTACATCCCTCCTAGTTATCCGCAGCGTCATGTCTTCAGGCAGTTAATCCGTCCGCCAGTATGTGAAATGTCTTGTCTTCTTAGCGTGACAACACAAGCTCTATATTGTCAGCGTCATGTCTTCAAGGCATTGCCGCCAACGGGGTCAGCCGAACACCGTGTCTTCGCTTCTTCTCAAATTGTCTGCGGCGTAATTACTTCTCGCGAGACGTCGCGAGAGAGCGGCATCTTGGGCGTCCTGCGGTCTGGGCGACGATGTCAGTGTGCGCGTGCGACGACTGAGAAGGAAAGAGCTGTGGACGAGTTGAGTTAGATTAGCCTTCACAGCAGTCTCTGTGTGCGCGCGTAGTAAAGAATGCGCTCAGGCTGCGGTAGGTTTCTTTCAAGACCACAGGGGAAATAACTCGATTTTTTCACGCGTACTTTTAGTTGCGTGGTGGGAAACGCGTGGCTAGGTACTCGAGCTGCTTGGGCTCAAAGCGGAACCGCACATGCACGAGAGAAAGAGAACGCGAGAGTTAGAGAGAGAGAGCGCGTGCGCGTGGAAGCGAGAAAGAGATGAGATAAAGGGATAAATAAAGGCAGAGAGAGAGAGAGAGAGAGTGAGAGAGAGAAAAGATTAAGAGATAAATAATAACAGCGACAGAGGAGATTGAGAGAGAGAGAGAGAGAAATAGAAAGAGAGACGGGGAGGAATAGAAGAGGCGTATTACATGCAGTCGGTTTAGTTATATACTGTTTGCTCGTACGTGATTTAACACGCTCATCACGCGCTCGATCGACCGCCTGTTAATGATCTACGTCACGCCACGCGAATATAAACCCGGTATGAACTCGTCCGATGATTTTGGGATTTGGATTACGTCGCGCTTTGTTCTTTATTGTAGTAACGGGAATGGCATTCCACATTGTGTAATAACGTTAGCCGTCTTTTGTGGTCGCGAGTAGATGAGCAAACTTTGAAAACGAGTTTGTTTTAAATTGAAATCGCTCTGGGGATTTTGCTCCGGGTGTGCAGCGGGGCATGTCGAGAAGAGACTATGAAATATGATGATGAAATGAAATGTCGTCATCGCCATTACCATCATCATCATCATCATCATCATCTTCTTTTTCTTCTTCTTCTTCTTCTTCTTCTTTTTCTTCTTCTTCTCCTTCTTCCTCATTTTCTTCTTCATCGTCATTATCATCATCATCATCATCATCATCATCATCATCATCATCATCATCATCATCATCATCATTATCATCACCATCATTACAGCATTGACCAAATGTGCAAGTCATTCATTCATAATCGTCGTTAAGCTATGGAACATGTACAGGCATCCTGCAGTATCGTGCGCTGTTATTTTAACATGATTCTTGTAGCATTTTTTTGTGTTTTGACTATTTCGAAATACCATTCGAGGTTTTTCACGCTTAGGAATCCACCATGCAACTGTCTCGGTCGATAAACGTGGATTTTTTCCTTTCGTAAAATTTTAGAAGCTGCGGGCACTAACTGTCGAGTACTAGCTTGCCATAATGAAAAACCAATGGAACCGACTAGATAATCAACAAACGTAGTCATAATCATGAAACGCGGCCAAAAATATCATGTTTTTTTTTACATTTTCTGCGCCCACACATACCACCCACCCGCGCCACATTGAAAAAAACGTGGATGTTATACTTTAGAATATATATGCAGAGTGAGAGAGTTCAATCCCTATACTTGATACTTAAATGCCTTCCGGTTTATTGCACCCGGTTACAAGTGTTTGCTAGTAACAGATACAGATATTATTATCGCTGTGCATGCGGGCGCCGCGATGCGGGAAGGATGAACGAGAGAAGGCAGGAGAGTGGGAGAGATAGAAAGACTCGAGAACACGCACGCACACACACACACACGCGCGCACAGTGAGAAAGTGAGGGAAGAGATGCGGGGAGAAAGAGTCCGAGACACCCGTCACGCGCGTACGAACGCACGTGTGCACAAACAGAATAAGTGAAGGAAGAGATGTGGGGAGAAAGAGCCCGAGACACGCGCGACGCGCGTACGCAAGCACGCGCGCACGCACGCACGCACACACACACAGACCTTAATTGAATATATTTATGTGCCTGTTTTTTGTTATGGTTGTAGTAAGATTCCAATACATTGCATCTTGGGCTCTACAGCTGTGAATAACGTTAGGTCATTGCTCTCTTTTCATATCGTTATTGACATGGTTTCTGTGTGACATGTATTCGATTTTATTATTCTTTATCAATGTAACCAAAATATACACAGTTGCTATACGTCACAAGTTCTGGCATTCATCACATGCCATGACAGGCAGACCGTCATATTATAGCCGCGTTCACACGTAGCAAGAAATCCGGTATTTAGCGTTCACACGAGGCAAAATACGAGGTCCAAGAAATACGGTATCTAAACAGATCCGGTCTTTCATGTAAATACGAGGCTTCCCAGACCCCGAATAATTTGCCGTGCTTGAGAAATACCGGATTTCTTGGACCGCGAATTTCCTCGTGTAAACGCTAAATACCGGATTTCTGAAGCCGCGTATTTTATAGACTGGTCCGCGCTCGACAGTTCCAGTGTAATGCGAGTGGAACTGTCGAGCGCGGACCA